GGACAGAAACCGGCTGTCGAGCTAAAGTCAATATATCGGTGACTTATTACGTAAATAGGACCGGTGTGACCAAGGAACGGGGTGCGAGACGATTTAATTGTCGCATTCCAGGCCTAATTGACAGATCCGCGATCGTCAATCGTGAGAACGAGTGAGGGATCGACCGTCGGGGAAACTTTGGACGGTCACCTTACAGAGAGTTCAAAGCAGGTCTTGCTGACACTCCTGTGAAGGGGGCGGTAGAAGCGGTAACCGATACGGGTATAAATTTGAGCGCGGAAGGGGTGGACAACGCATCGGAAATGGCTGCACAGAGCCAGAGAGATACCCAATTACCACCAGTTCCTCTCGGTCTATTCACTCGATGTGAATGATAGACTCTTCCCTCGAGAAGAGATCATCATCAAAGAGACTGTAACAGTTGGTAAATAATAAATTTTTCTTTGCGTGTAAGAAACCTAGGAAATTGTCGCGTTTTACTCCCCCAATGTAATCAACATGTGAACCGAACTATAAATAGGTCACGTGTCGGGGTGAGTCTTTTGTGTATCGATCAAAGGATGTAAGGATTGAGCGCCGCATAAGTATACTCGAAACCAATTAAAACATGGTCATAAGTAAGGAAAGGTGAAAGGCTCGCGAATCGGGCGGGTCGCCTTAACGAAAACTCGGGTCAGAAGACACCGCGAGTATGGAAATCGCGTTGGAAAAATCGACAGACTTCAATTTTTTTTTCTTCATTTGTTTTTTTTAGGAAGGAAATCATGGCCCAGAGAGGAGATAGCGTTGGCCCCGGAGGATCGACGACTGGCGTAGACTGGAAGGAAAGGGTGGTCGCCATGGCCGGGCATTTGGAATGCCCGGTGTGCACGGAGAGGAGGACACCTCCCACATCCTTGTGCTATAACAGGCACATTATCTGCCCGCGGTGCAGGGATCGGGTGCAGCGGTGCCCCACGTGTCGGGGCGCGATAAGTCGGGGCCGGTGCTTGCCGTTGGAGTGGATTGCGGAGACCCTTCTATCTCAGTGTGTAAATACCGGAGTTTCGGGTGCCAGGGGTATATGTCGCCGCAGGAGAAAGCGGAGCATGAAAAATTTTGTCCTTTTAAGGCACGCCCCTGCCCCGTCTTGGACCCGGAGTGCCATTGGGAGGGTCCCCATAGGGATCTCCTACCACACCTGGCTGGAAGTCACCCCAACCTCGGAGGGGGTGCGACCCCACCCTCCGAATGTATCTGGTCAGATGGCACCTGACTAGGAGGTGTACAGTACATGGGTCGCTCGAATGGCGTGGGGGCAGAGCAGGTTCCTCGCTCAGGTAATAAAAGAGGAGAAGAGGGAGCCGCCCTTCGGCGAGCTACCCAGAATCCCCGACCGGAATATCCGAAAATAATTATCTTACTCCCTCAGAGGGAGGTGGACCTGGACCCGCAGAGGGAGGTTGAGGAGGCGGTGGCTTTCGCCGTAGGGAGGACAAATCGCCTCCAGGAGGAAACAGTCTTCCCAGGAAGAAGAAGCACAACCCGAGCCGACGATCCGCGGCGCCTTTCCTCCACAGCCCTGACGAGGGGTGGGACGAGGACAGTTAATATCGGAACAATTGAGAAGACGCCTAGAACGAGAAAAAATGTTCTTGGCGGCGGTACGAGCAAGAAGCTGGCACCGCCGCTAGAAAAAAAGGGGGAAAGAAAGAAAAGGGAAGAGAAACTTTTGAAAACATTTTATCGCATAACCCATATTTTGTATTTTAAGTTTATATGTATTATTCTTATTGTTANTCACAATCCAACGTTATTTTAAAGAAAAAAGATTTAAGGGGCGGCATTTCGAAGACTTGCATCATACTGAGAAAATCTACCGCACGGCCGTGAATATTGCTCACAATACATTTTTATTTGTCTAATAAAATGCTTAAGATTAATTCAATAAAAGTAAATGAAAAGTATTGAACTTACTTTGAAACGCTGTCTAATTTACAAAAATAATTTAAAATGTTTTGGATAGAAGCCTTATACATATCAAATTATGAATTTTAGAGTGGTTAGTAAATGAATATCAATAAGTAAATCAGATTCTATTCTTGTGATAGTGAAATTTAAAATAAAAATTTTTCTTTGTCAGACTTCTACTCACTGACGAATCCTTTCCTAAGAAATGGTTTATACGAGATGCAATCGTTGGAAACCAAACAATAATAATAGAATTTATTCATCTCATTTTGAAAAAGCATGCTTCAGTTATATCTATCTATAATACAACCAAATTCTGTCCCAAATTCTAATCTATAATACAACCAAATTCTGTTCCAAATTCTAATCTATAATACAACCAAATTCTGTTCCTACTGTGAGTTCGCCGCTTTGGGGGGCAATACGTTAATTGCGCGTCAGGAAAACCTAGGGTCAAACCATATATGGATGGTGACGGTAAGAGACAGAGATGACAAGTGTCTTACACGAAAACCGTTTATTTTGACATTAGATTAACTTACACAATGGGAAGAACAAGAATTAATGTGTTGGCCGGCTGATGTTCCACTTTGGATATACCCCGGGCTTGAACGAGGTAGAGAATGGTGATCTGAGGGCGATGTCCGGTAAATCTTGCCTCCAGGTATGCGACGGAGCTCGGATGTGGTGGCGTTCTGGATACTTGGGTCCGGTGCGCGGCTGAGAATCGGCTGCCAATCCCCCCTTGTCCTTGAGACCCGGGGGTTTTATAAGATTTCCCCCAAATCTCATCGTTTTGATTGGTCCCGTTCAGCCTCTCCCTTACCCCGATTGGTCATTCTCTTTGTTTTTAGGCGAAACCCGAGACCGATCCGGGTCGGGAAAAAGTCGGAGAGGTGGGGACGGTCTTTTTACGTTCGCGCTCGTATTTTACTCCGTTATGGCCCTTTTCTCTGTCATCTTTGAACGAGAGTTTTAAGTCGGAAATACGACTTAAAACTCTCGTTATTAGTCGTATTTCCGACGCGCTTTTCACGATCCTCATACTACAATTTCTTCATTTCCTCCATATTTTCAAAAAATCCCTGCAATAAAAACGTTTAGAGAGAAAACGAACATCTAAAAACCCTATTTCAGAAGCCTTAAAGAAAAAATTGCAAAGATAGAATATTGTAGTGATATTGGATCTCCTCGTTCTCCCTCAGCTGCGGTTTTGCCGGTCCCTATCCATTTGCACAGGGTAATAAGAAATTTAGACAAAGGGTCATAAAACCGAGGGGAGAAAAAGGCGGGAAGAGGGACGGGGAGAGTAGGTCAGAACAGGGAGTGAGAGAGAGGAAGCAGTAGTGAAGTGGTGGAGCTAGAGAGTAGAGAATTTTGTATTATAATATTTGGATATTCGAGTTTCTGTGTGACGAACCGACGGGACGGAATCCGTAAATCAGATCGGGTTCCCTACAAATATAATGTCTCAGTCTCTCGTGATCACACATATTGTTTGCCACCTCCAAAGAAAGTGCGTGAAATGTTAATTTTAACAAGACATAAATGTGAACAGCTACAAAAGAAACCTAAATATAACAGACAGTCTAATAAAAGAAATTCAAATAAGATTGTCGATTTAAAAAACATTATTCAAAAGCTCAAAGAAATGCTTTCTAAATCTGATGCTGTAATGATAGAAAATAACTTTAATGGTCTGCTTTGTGATCTGTTAAAAAGTTTGCTTTAACTCTTCACTTTTAGATACTTATATGCCTTACTGGAATAAGACAGTTTATTAAACTACTTGCTTTTAGTTCTCTGCGGAAATGGTCTTCTTACGGCAACACAAGCACTTGTATTTTTAGTTACTGCAGTCAACAAATGGAAAGTATTAAGATTAGAGGTGCACAAGTAAAACAAATGTTTACAAAAATGATTATATTTGACTGATACTACACATTGTTTTTTAAATATAATATACAGTACTGAACTCAGTGAATAGTACTGTACAATATATTTAATTTGCTTTTTGATGTGACGGGCAAGCCCGCAGTACCTTCCTTTCATTGCTTTTGCTCCGTCCGTGCAAATGCCTACGCATTTGAACCACTCAATGCTATTTTTGGACAAGAAATTATCAACGAGAAATAAAATATCTTTCTCTCTTGTTGTAGTACTTTCTAACAATTGATAAAAGCGATCTTCCTGAATAAAATCGTTTCATATATACCTAACCTCAAATTACGCGAATCCAGCTACATCAATCAGTTAGTTCGTTGATTTGTAACACAGAGTACAAATTATTCTTAACATGACCCACCAGTTGGGATTCAACACTATCTGCCATGTCGTGAATACGACGCGAAGCTAAATCATTTGAGGCAGGTATAAAATAAATTTTTTTCGTGTTTTGTCACCCGGCATGTATTCCACAAAGTCATGCAGCAGGCATAATTGGATATTCTGCTAATATGTGTAGCTTTGCTGATTTAGCCAAGTGAAAAGATAGGATGAATTAGCGCAGTTTTGTTTGACACTGACGATGTTGACTAATGCAAACAACTTTTCCTCACTTTCAATTCTTTTCAAAAAATTCAGTCGACTTATTCACAAGATCCGAAGTGTTTAGTGATGTAGCGATTGACAGTTGACGGTTTCATGGAATGATTTGACAAAACCTCTCAACAGATAACATATTAATAATAAANGTATAAATTTCAATTCCGATTCCATAACAGTATCAAATTAAATTTTTGATTTAAAGCTTGATATATTTTGTTATTGAAATTTAAATAAAATTCTAAAATAAAATATATTAAAATCAATGTAACAACATATGTATATATAACATAATCTATTACAGGAATACTTATCTTTGCCATAATATACATACTAAATGGAATGTTTTCATAAGGTGTAACACTTTATACTTATGCATAATCTAATACATTAAGCATTTTAGAAAAAATAGAGTTAAAAATAATCAATTTGGAGGGAATGTACTGCGGAAAGTTTCTTTTAATCCAGTTGTCCAATTAAAAATATAAGAAAGTTATGATTTGATCATGTTATATTTAATTATGATCAAAGTAGGATTCGATCATGTAGATTTATTTCTAGGAGTTTGGTAACGGTGAGATTCCTCTTCACTGGTAATATAGTTCAAAAGATCAATTCTTGTAACCACACCAATCACTATTTGTTTAGTTTCCACTTTATCTCTGGATTTAACTGTAAGAAATATTTAAATTAACATATAATCAATATCATTAAAAGTTTATTCTATTTATTAATAAGCACATTTGTAATTTTTCATTATGTTAGTGTTTATATCTATTTCATATCAAATACCTGTAGTTTCCAGAACTGGTAATTTTACAGTTTCTTTAGTTGTATGTGCTGTAAGAAGTATATCACTTATCACTTAATTCTGATTATAAAATAAAAGTTTCAATATTGATGATATTTTTTAAAATTAAGATTAGATTGCCAGGAAACAATTTATTTTATGTATCATGCAAAATGTTAATGTAACTGGATGGCAACTANGAAGGGTTTATTGATTTATTCTAAAAAATAAATATCCAAATTTGTACAGTACTTTTTGGTCTTTTGTAGATCTCTTAAAGACCGTCACTCTCCGCTGTTTTAGTGCACTAAAAGGAATTCTAAAATAGTTTTATTTACATCAAATTGATCACATAGACGTTGTTAATACAGTTTTTCTTTTTTGTATGAGATAAACATATTATATATATATATTATAAAAATCATTGTAATCAGAGTTTTTATTTTCGAAATTGTTGTTTTTTCCAAATTTCCAAACTTTAACACAAGATTTTACTACTTATGGCCCTTTCTAACCTTTACTGTTTTGATTTTTGAAAATTAATATATATTAAAAGAAAAATCAAAAAAAGAAAAGAAAAAAAAAACATTCCAAGATATATTTCAGGCAATTTTTCTCTTAGCAATATACAAATCTATCTATATCACAGATTTTCTGAGTACAAACCAGCCACTTTTTAAACAAAATTGGTGGGAGTTCCCGAATTACTGTCTGCCAACTGTTCAAATGTTAGAAATTTAGAGAACGCGAAATGCTCCACTACTGATCATATTTTGGAAAATTGTTTAAATTTTAGAAAGAAAATACAAAGTCTTTCTCAACTTCAAAAATTGTGATGCCTAAAAACACTTTCTGATCTCTTGTTAAAGCATTTTACAAGATGCACTTTGAAATTTTAAAAAAGTGATGTTATATTCTCATTACTTTACTTGAGCAGGCAAAATTTCAGAAAGAACTCTTGCATCACTAAGAACAATTTATTGAATGTTACACATACAGCATTATTAACAACATATTTCAGTTTTTAATAAAAATGACAACCAACATGTTCATTTGCAGATTTTCTTCTCTCTCCTTCAACCATAGTAATCAAGATTAAACAGCATTGTTCATCAGCAGACAATCTCGTACGTTTTCTTATCTGTTTCTAAAAAGAAATGAACAAATAGAAAAATATTGTATAAATTAATAACTAATTAAATATTTTAATATTTTACCATTCAATAATTTTGACACAATCAAGTTTTCCATTTCAGTTATTTGTATGTGAATTTGCTTTAATGGTTTTAGTTTGGAAAAAAAGTTTGGTTATAAAAATATTTTTGGCAAAATGATTTGTTAATAAGAATCAGATCTCAATTGTATGTAAATATCAGATGATTTGATGTCACTAAATTTATGGGATGAAATAAATCTGAATAATTACCTATTTGAGTTTCATGTTCTTTTATTTGTAAACATAGCATCTTAACTTTAGTTTTCAATACAGGCTACTTAGATCATATAATTTTTAAAATTGTTTCAAATGATAGCAATTTAAGGGTGTAAGTAAGAATTGAACATGCTTTATAAATTATATATTATTTTCAATTCTTTCAATTATGCATCAAACTTTAGGCACAGTTGACTGTGAACAGCTCACAACTTTTACAACAGTTCTTAATGAAAATCTTTCTATTCTGTTTATATAAAGCTATTATTTAATTGCTTTATAAATTATATATTATATAAACTAATCATAATAAATTAAAAATAGTTAACTTAAATATTAATAATTATGCCAAAAAGTATTATCACCCACAACTCTGCCTAATGTGTATTAAGATTGATACATAATGCTAACAAAATTATGACAATAACAAAAGTTAATAATTGATCAAGTTAATCATTTTGGTTCAACCAAGTCATACAAGATGATTAATTGAAATAACTGTTGTTAACATTCATTGTCACCTTAACTGTTACCTATGTACTGCAGGCCTTCATAGTACATAAACACAACAGACATTTCCTTTACAATCTAATTGGCAAAATATTATTAAAAAACTATCCTATTTCTCATAGTTCTGTGCAATAAATTGTAATTATATTCCTAGAAATACAGTTTTAACTACACAAGACATATAAATGCATTCATACAGTCATAACTAAAAATTTACACCTGTCACACAAGCAGGAAGTTATAAGATGAGTGGTCATAAAGTGGAGCTCTGCTCTATTCCAAGTTGAAGTTTGGCAAAATAATCCAAATTCCAACTTTTAATTACAACATATTAATTATTATTGTTAATATATAATTAATATTACTAACTAATTAGTAAAAATCCAACTCTAATCCAAATTTGTAAATTATTAAATTATTATTATTAAGCTAAATCAACTCATATAAAATTGAAATAACTTTCCTTATTTCAAACAAAATTTATATTAAATAAAATAATACTTACAGATTTTCTGATCATGCACTACTAAGGCAAAATGTTCTTTGTCCAATAAACGTGATAATTTTCCCAAAGTGTCATCTAGTTTTATCTAATTAACAAAATATGTAATTTAATACACAATCATTTAAATTTTGTCAGAATATTTAATAATTATTTACCTTATCAAATTGGTTATATATTATTTCAGATACGGGTGCTGTAGCAATAACTTTTCCAGCAAGAATTTTTGCCATCATGCTTCCTAATGTTATCATTCCCTTGATAACACTAGAAAATAAAAACTTATTTTAAAAACTTTTAAAATATTTTATGAAATCTTAAAAAAATTATTATATACCCTGATTCAGAAACAACTGGTAGCTGATCAAATCCCTCTTTGTTAAGAATATCAATGGCATCTTGGCATGACATATTTGGAAGAACGCTAACAGGTGCAGCCAGATTCAGACAGCTCACTTTTAAATTCCACCACCTTATAAAACAATAAAGATCATCACAAAAATACTGCATATGTATAAATACTTTTCAGATGGTTTATTAATTAATAAGATTATTTCTTTATTAGTTAATTTTCAGTTTAAATGTAAATATGTAGTTTTCACATAATGAAAAATAAATTTAACATGTTTGCTGTCAGTTGATGCAATTTTTCATCATGTGATGCAGAATTACATCAACTGGCATAAAACATGTTAATTAACAAACAGATTTTTGTTTGTGGTATAATTGATTCATGTTAACTACAAAATGTGAAATAATATACAGTGGGTGATCGGTTAACGAACAGATCGCATAACGAACAAATCGGATAACGAACACTTTCGCGAAAGATTTTTATGTTCGAACAACGAACACATGATCGGATAACGAACACCTCACAGAATAAACACAAGAAGAAGCGATGTAAAATAATGAATACCGATTGGTGTTCCCATGTCTTCAGGAAACAATTCGAAACTTTTCGGAGTGTGGGAAACGTCGACATCGACACTCAAGCCGGTATATACCGATCGGATAGTATTCCTCCGAACTTTGAAACTCTCCCTTGTAATTCCAGCCTTTTATTTTTCTGACAAAATAATTCTTTTATGTATTCGCGAGACTGTCGGGTAGGTACTGTACTCGTTAAGTTTTGTGTCTGTTTTTCTTTTCGAAAGGTGAGAGTATAATAGCAAAGGTAGAGAGTGGGCAGAAGATACCTAATGTTGCTGGGCAGTATGGCATGAACAGGTCTAAAGTAGGCTGCAGTTCAATCTTATTTAAGAAAAATACTGTATGATCCAGAAGACTCAAGCAGCTAAAGGAGTAACAAAAATCACATCTGAGAAATAAATAACATCGAAGAGTTCATAATGGAACCTGAAACAGATCTGACGACAGAAGAACGCCAAAAACTCTTGAATGAAGAACACCAAGAATCTCGGCGAGATATGATTCTTTCTGAAAAAGAGGATTAATGCCGATATCTGTTATTAAAGATCCTTTGAAGAAGTGGGAGGATGTCAGAACAACGGTCTTAGAATGGCATCTAAACCAGGTTGAGGCTTGGGATTTCTACAATTGCAATGCTATTAATTACTTACGAAAAATCCTGAAGAGAGGAAAGCAATTGACATTAGACATATTCTTTAACCATTTCAAATGGAAAAAAATATGACTAATAAAAATGCAAGACTGTGTGTGTATGTATTTTTATTATTACATATAAATAAACGTAGTAAGAAAGTATATATTTTTTATTTTTTGGGGTCTTTAGAACGAATTAATCAAATTCCCATAGAAACCTATGGTAAATCGATAATAGGTNTGACTAAAGGGACATCTGTTAAGCTCGAACGCGATAGGGGGTAAATGGCCACAAGAACATCTGCTGGACCGTTTAGGTTCAAAGATGTCAGAGGAAAGGGCCATAACGGAGAAAAATACGAGCACGGACTTTAAAAGCTCCGTTATTACCTCTCCGACCTTTTCCCGACCCGGATCGGTCTCGGGTTTCGCCTAGAGACAAAAGAATGACCAATCGGAGTAAGGAAGAGGGTGAACGGGACCAATCAAAAGGGTGATATTCGGGAAAAATCCTATAAAATCCCGAATCTCAAGGACAACTAGTCGATTCTCCTCCGAACAAGTGTTGAGTGGATTCCAGGACCTCCGTCCACCAGCCCGTCACACCCGCCTGAGCTTCTCCGCCTGCTAAGAAGTGTGTGCATCAGAACGTCAACCATCGCCCGTTTACCGGTATCACACCTCCGAATCTGCGGACTCTTCTCCTTGGATGTCCCGGGGCCACTACCAGTATCACACCACGCTCTACGTCCGACGTCCCTTGTTTATTGTTCTTCTATTATTATGTAAGTTAAACTAGTTGTTAAAATAAACGGTTTGTGTAAGGCACCTGTCATCTTTGTCTTCTGCCACCACCCACATACGATTCGTCCCTAGGTTTTCTTGAAGCGCATTTAACTTATTGCCCCTAAAAGTCGGCAACCTCACATACACATGAATTTTACAAACTGCTTGCGGTTCGCAAATCACAATTAGAAAAAAAAATCAAATTGTCCTCACCTTATACATCACAAACAGAGCGACAATTGTCGAAAAGAACGAATGAAGATAATTAGCCGTAACAATTGTGATGATTAGTACGCGGTATCATTGACATTGACCGGTATCGGCACCCTCGGGATTTGGCATGCATGCACGCACTGCACACCTACAAGATCGTCTGATTCCATCCATGAGCTACTGATAGGGAGCAATCTTAACTCCCTATCAGTTAAGATTTTCACGTTAAATGCATTGTTTTAACAATTAAAAAGTAAAGAATATTTTGTTATTTTTATGTACGTTTCTTCACAAAACTACATTTAATTTTTTCTTTAAAAGTATATTCATACAATTGAATATTTTGTACCAGGTATGTATAATTGTATATCATCACACATTTTATTTTAACAAGTAAGTTTTTATAATTTTATTTTTAATTTTAGCCCTTATATTATGGCTAGCAATTTAGAATGTAATTGTGATATTGAAAATTTATTTCAAAAAGTTTTGGCTCGAGACCATATAATGAAAAAGAAAAAATTTGTTCGACATTTTCATGATAAAATTTATGAAGATATAAAATGGCTTTGTGGATGCATAAAAATGCAAAATTTGTTTTGTTGGCCTTGCCTACTATTTTCAAATAAAATTAGTGTGTAGAATGAGATTGGCTTTGACGATTTAAATAATTTGAGTAAAGCTGGCAAAAGACACGAAAATCCTAAATCTC